TCTTTCCCTTGCTTTACTCCTCAGCTGGATTCATTTTCTCCTTAGGAGGAGGGAAATAATAAAGCCCAGAGCCAGTGGTCTAACTAACTATTCTGGTGCCTTGAGAAGAGCAAAGGGGGAGGGCGTATTTTGTGTGCGGACTCATTTGAGGCAACCATTTTAACTCCCACCCCCAGATCTGCCCTATTCACCCATCCCTATGCTACTGCCCAGAGCAATAAACATGGCTCTTTGATAGCAACTTTGATGACTGTGCTGGAGAAACACAACTGAGAACATTTTTGATTGTCACAACTAAGGGTCTGTCCTCACAGCAGTCACACGATCTCAGCAGCTGTGGGCACAATGTGATGCTCTCCATGCACACTACTGTAGTCCCATAGAAACTGTGTGGCACTCTACAGATGGTGTAAGCTCTGGGTGGCATGAAATTTGCAGGGCTGAGTGCCTGTGTGCACACCTCCAAGAGTCACACTGAGTAGAGAGGGTAATGGCAGCTGGACCACCATGAAGGGTAAGCGCTTGAAATCTCTTTAGCATCAAGGGCTTGATTTTGCCCTGCTGAAGTCAATGAGAACTTTGCCCTTGAATCTGATGGCTGGGGGTGGGGGTAAGTGAATAGGGACGTGGTGGGGGGGTGGGTCAAAGGAGTGACATATTTAAAGGAGTTTGCCCCTTGCCAAGGGCACTCAACTCTTTCTAGAGAAGCCACCTAGTGTTGACTGTTACTGAAGACAGCAGATGCAGTCTGCCAGCCTATGGGTCTGCCCTGATAAAAGACACCCTATGGGCACAACAGGTAGGTTGTGAATGGTTTTGCTCATGGGACATGGGGTTCCTGTACATGTGCAGGAAGGCTCCTCCAACATGCTGTAATTCCAGCACATTAGAGTAGAATTAACAGAGTGTGCAGGAGCATGGTAATTACCGCACTTCAGCAGACTCGAGCGTCACGTGTATCAGCATCTCTGCACCGAAAAATGGTGGCCAGTTGCTTTGCACTAAAGCTTGTTCATCAAGCTTTAGTTCAAAGTGCCCTGCTACCATTTTTCAGTGTAGGGATGCTGATACATGTGACGTTCTGGGCACGTTTAAACAGTGCAGCTCTTGGAGCTGCACTAATTAAAGCACCCCCGCACCCCTCCCAGAGCACGTCTATAAATGCTCATAGGGATCAGTGGCCAAGCAGAATGAGG